GTTCTTGTTTTTAGTTTTCTACATTACCCTACAACCTAGCTGTTCTTTCTTACATTTATTAATACCATTTCTCAATTTGTATGCATCCTTTATTGTTGTCTTTGTTGTCCACTGTTGTCATCATTCTGTTAAAACCAGGTCTCTCTTGTAAATGAGTCCCAGAGGCTCAATGGGATTAACCTGTCTAAATACAGGTTGAATGAATAATAGTATTAGCATCTTTCTAATCCTGCTGGTCTGCTTCAACAAACCTCTCTGCAGAGACACCCTGGTAGTCTCCTGTCTCCTGAGCCTATTCTTACTCGATTACTTGGTGCCCCACCTGTGCAGAAAAGTTGTCCTTATAAGAAGAAGAAAGCCGCTCTGCTTTTCAGAGACGGACGCTGAGTCATCAGTCGCACTCAAAGTTACAAGAAACACTCTGCCTTTATTCATAACAAAACCTTTCTGTGTGGTGCAGTGTAAACATTTACAGTTTGACAGAAAGCAGTTTATGTGTCTTTATACAATAGGTAAAGTGCATTATATAAACCAGTGGAATTCATCGTGATTTAGGAGAAAAACAAAAAAACGATGGAGACTTTTTATTTAAAAAAATACAAGATTATGTTTTTTCCTCTTGATTGCTCTCATTGTGGCTCTCGGCTTCGGTCCTGTAAGTGCAAATAAAGGTCTGGTTAGATTTATTTCATTTCAAGTTTGGGATAGAGCTTGTTGGATACCTGTGAAGAAGAAGCTGCCTTGTGAGGCTTTCCCTCAGCTCCTCCATCTCTTTGTTTTTTCTCTTCTGAACCTCCAGCTCAGTCTTCAGCTCTCTGCTGCGCTCCTCCAGATGAAACACCTCCACCTGGAACAGAGGCACCCCACACCTGAGCCCATCTTTGTCTAATAGTTACTCTGAACGCTGCTTTGACTCTGATTTTACCTTGTAGCGACCCACATGTTCCCGCCTCTGCAGGACGATAAGTTGAAGTTTCTCATCTAAACAAGCCCTCTTCAGTTCCAGCTTGTGGACCTCTTCTCTCAGAGGCCTCAGCTGGGCCCTCAGCTCTTGGGCGTGCTGTTTTGTTTTCACCAGAGCGCCAGCGGTCGCCTCTCTCCTCTTCAGCAAAGCCACCAGCATGGGTCCATATCTGTGTTAGCAAACCACCGATAGTTGTAGCTAAAACATGTTTGGATCTTTGTGTGGAAAAGTAAAGTACTGCCTTGTTCATTAAAGAGTTTCTGTGATAAAAGTATTGAAATAATTCAGTCTTTGGACGCAGCGTTCCTTGAAGGAGTGCGTACCACCCGCCACACTTTATACCACGTT